AGGTTTGTAATTAAGAACAAAGGACTGAACTACTGCCCTGAATTCCTTTATGTGGTTGAAATCTAGATTATGAAAGTAGCAGGTGCTAAGTATCAGTGCTAAATGCTGTGTATATCACTACATAAAATAAGACCATCAAAAAGATTAGCATTGGACATCTTAATAAATTAAGTTGATATGAGGTTAATGTGTTGATAAAACTAATTTTAGACATCTGAAGACCTTTAAAACATTTCATACGATTATTGTTTTGCAAAGACTGAAAACTGGGGACTCAAGTACTGTAACTGATTAAAGATGTGCCATGCATTATTGGATTATCACACTTACAAATCTGTTTGCCTTGTGAGTAAGTTTTGGGGAGCATTCCAAAGCAGTATTTTTGTTCAGATTTAGACTTGTTTGTTTTTGTTTTTGTTTTTGTTTTTTTTTCCCAAAAATATTACTCTTTCGAAATATCATTTTCCTTAACAGTGAAATTACTAACATTTAACTGTATTCCGTGGGTTTTGCTGATTTGGTATGAAGTTTAATAGACTCTTATTTATATTTTTTAAAAAGCTAGATATCAGTCTGTTAGGCAACGTTAATGATAATATCCAGTCATAATTGAACAGTTATAATTATACAGAATAAACACATGTTGCCTTAAAGGGTTATCTAGTATCTTCCATTTTGTTTAGCATTGAAGCAAATAAGCAAGGAAAATTGAATCAATAACTCTGGTCAGTCATTTGGGAGTGCATGAAAGATCACTTAGTCCTCTTTTTTTCCTTTTTACTCCAATGGTTCCCAAAATCAGTATGCACATCACTGGGATGATATGATTTTTTTTCTAGGTGTGCCGCCCTTTCTAGTTTGTTCTGAGAAACACAGGCAGTTGATGTATGTTTATATTTTAAGACAGCTGTCATGGGGAGACCGCAGCCTTAGTATGATATCTTGCACAATTTGTGAAGCATTTATTCTACTGAAGGCACAGTCTTGTTTATATTTTCTGCACATTTTGGTGTATTGGTTGTTTTAAATTATTTAAGTTTTAACTTGTGAAAGCATATAATATGATTTCTTAGTATTTTAGAAATACATTAGAGTCTGTGAGTCTTTCCTTCTTTAAGATACAGATGTGTGGATTTCAATATAAAGTTGCATTTGCCAAAATTTACCTGTGTAGCTTGTTAATTTTCTTGGAATAAAATTTTACATTTTTCCAGTTATACAATTAACCTTTTTCATTTTGTCTAGTGAGCTAGCATGAAGTACTGAGAATGTAGCCATTATGAATTATTATCCTTTGCAGTCACTGTATTCCCAAACTGTAAATGCATGAATGATGGGGACCACAGGATTGATAAATGATATTATCTGCAGTAGCACTATTGTGTAGTTTATCATAATTACCCATCTATCTGCTCTAATATGTCAGTTATATTTAAAGTTACAACACAGTATTTGACATCAACTTCACAGTTTAATTTTGGAAAATGTGTATATTTGAAGCACAACGTCATGAGTTGGTCAATCATAAAGAACATGGATTTTTCTTAATTTTTGGAGAGACAAGACTAGAGGTCTTAATTCAGTATTGGTAAATCTTGTCCTTTGTTGTAGTTTTATGACCAGCAAGTTAATATATACATACACAAGCAGCAGTCCATAATAGAAATGCTTAAATTTGTATGGTAACATTATACAACATATGCAACAATTCAGAGAGTTGTATCTATATGTGATCAGACAACTTGATCAAAGATTTAGTGAGCAATCTGTTTGACCTCACTTACACTTTTATACTGAGGTTGATTGGTTGAGAGGCATGGCTTTATATACTGTGTTGAAACAGAAAAATTACTAAAATAATGAGTCCTCATCAGTACAAGAATGTTTCAGAACATAATTTGAAACGGGACCAATAAACTTCTACCAAAAGGACTTTTTTATTACACTGAAAAAGGCTTTGAAATTAAGGTAGTTAAGCAATTGTCAAAGATAGCAAAAGCGAATAAAAACTGAGTCGTATGTTGAGAAAAATTCTGAAAGTTATCCCACTTAAGTTTATTAAAAGGTTGATTGGCAATAACTTCAGTCTAATTTCTATAAAATAGTAACCTTTACAAGGAACATTGATATTACATATTGTAATAAAGAAGTACATATAAATAAAGTTGTAAATAGTGTTATAGTTGTAGAAGTAGTCGGTTCTGAAGATTAGCCAGAGAATTTTCAACTATGAAATTTCAAAAGCTGCGAATTTGGGGCCTGACCTAACTCCTAATAAAGTCAGTTGGTGTTTTCCCATTAACTTCATTTGGAGCAGAAGCAGGCCCTAACGTTTCTATACTACTATGCTTCTGAAATACTAAGAAGGCTGTATTTACTATGCAGTGGGAAAAGGGGAAAAAAAAAAAATTAAAATTATTTCCCTGGAAGTTTTGCAAGCAGTAACTGATGTAAATTAAAATAATAAACAGTAAACGAGTCTGAAAGCAAATATTTTGCTAAATGTTTTTCTTTTGATATGAATATAATTCCTTTGGCTAGCTGAAAAATATGCAACTGTACTAGTGCCTGGCAGAGGAGAGGTACTTTTTTTTTAAGTGAATTTTTATAACTGTTGCAGTAAGAAGTCTTGTGACAGAAGTTTTTCATTTTACTTTCTCCAGTGTTAAAAGAACAAGGGGATATTCAGTGAAATTAATAGGCAACATATGAAGTAACGTTTTATGCAAAGCTATTACTCAGCGGAACTCACTGGCACAGGATGTCAAGTAGTTTAGAGAGATTCCTACAAGAATTGTATGTATACATGAATTAAAGCAGTGCTTGCGGTTTTTGTCATCAGCATCATTTTGATCCTAGTCAGCACATCGAACCTAATGTATGAGGGTATAAATTCAAAGGAGCAAGAAGGTTTATTCCAATTTGGTAGACGGTTGTGTCAGAGTATGAAAAGCCTTTTGCTTTCGTTTTAGTACAGGAGTTAAGCTGTTGCCAAAGCTAGAATCCAGGGCTGGTAGGTTACTCTTTTCTTTTCAGAATAGCAAAGAATATCAGACGATTTTATATCTGCATTGACCTTTAATGCTGGTGGGTGACACGAGGTTAGCAGTTTTAATTTTCCTGGTGGCGGAAAAAAAGAGTAAGAACAGATTCCCTGGAGAAAAGGCTGTCTGCCCCTGTTGCTTCCCTGCCCTCTCTTGCCCCAGAGAGGCCCTTTGGCAGCCTCTCCATCAATCCTTCTTCAAGATTAAATGTTTCATATACTGAGTCTTATATTTCTCCCGCTCCTTAAGAAGCGTCTCAGCCATTCCTCCACCCCAGTAGATAAACTCCTGCAGTAGCTTCCCAAGGTTTGTCAGTGTCTGGGTTCCCTTCCTAAAGTCAGAGAGAGACCACCAGTTCCTTCCAGCTGCCTTTGTAGTTCATGGAGTCATCGTTCCATGACGCTTGGCTGGCGCGCTGGGTATCTCTGTCTTTGGCTTGGGTCATGAAGTAGATGCTATTTAGGTTGTGCAGAGAAAAATGAGAATGAGGAGGTGGCAGCAGGGAACACCTTCCCCTCTCCCAACTCCTCCGTAAAGAAACCCCTGTTATTCTTGCGTTGCCCAAGAGCGTTATGATTTTTTTAAAGCATATTCGGTGCTAATGACCCTCTAAATGAATAAAATGTACAGTTAGCCAATTAATGCAAGGGTTTTGGTACAGCTACAAAATCTTACTATAAAATGGCTTTCTGTCAGTCTCTAGGCCTTGGGGGCAGAGGAGTCCGCTGTATCTATCTCCTTTTAAGCGCATTGAGTTTGTTCATTTGTATTGTCTTTGCTTCGCCTTTCAAGCATGTGACCATTTTACTTGTATTAGTAGGAGTCCAGTATTGCAGCAAGCTGTTAATACTCATGGGTTTAAAAAATAATATAAAAGGGAACTCGGATGATTTTTGAGGTGAATTAGAGAGGTATTTTGACAAAGAATTGGTTTTTAGCAAATGTCGAATAAAACTGTGGGCTGCTGGTCTCTTTCATAGTTACACAGTCGGCTCTCAATTATTGAAAATAGAAATGAAGTAGACTAACCCACAGAAAGCTAAAACATAGGTAGGACAAAGTATATGCACATTAGATAAGAGCTTCCTGTGTTTATTACATTTATCGAGGAATGAAGTTAAGCTGAAGTTAAAAGTGAGATCAGAAATTCAAAGAAAAATGGTGGGTGTTTTTCCTTTTTTTCTGCTTTGTTTTAGCGTAGCACTGCTAATCTGCAACCTGGGTTACACACCCACAGCCAACCGAGAGTTGACTGTACAATTCTGCATACCACATAGACAACTTCCTTCTAGTTTATATTCATTGAGAGCTGTATAAGTGCGCACTACTAATGTGATTGATTGATTTTTCAGAGAAGAGAGAAGGCTCAGTCTGAGATACTGTTCTTCAGAACTAAAATTCAATGTATGTTCTCTGCCTTTGCTTACTGAAGTGATTTTGAGTGTGAAGAAATCAGTGATCTAAATCAGTAATGATCATAAGCATTCTCTGGCCACGACCATTAACAACAGAACAAGATGACATTTTGCAATGCATATGCCAGCAACAAATCAAAGAGTTTGATATTACCCACCATGACTTTCCTTGAGCGGCCTGAAAATAGCTTATGCTTTATATTTAGAAAAAATATGAAGAAGCTGTCCATTTAAATGGATAAAGTCTTTGACTAGACAGTGTGGAAAAAGAAAGGTGAATTTTAAAGATTGCTTGTTATAAACAGTGAAGAGTTTTTGTG